GTGGCTGCTGTGGGTCAGGCTGAGACTGGGAGTGGGCTGAGGCCGACTGTGGGGGTATGTGGTGAGGGTGGGGTTGGGTGTGAGGGTGGTGAGAGTGGGTTTGTTGGTGTTGAGAGCTGGGGTGCTGCTGTTGCTGCTGCGGGTGGTGCTGGGAAAGATGGTGCATGTGAGATGGGGCGGACAAGCCGATGTCAGGCTCAGAGAGGAAGGAATGGAGTTCAGAGGCTGAGTGTTGCTGCGAGTGGTGGGTTTGCTGCGGCTGATGGTGGGATGGGTGCTGCCTCTGCTGCTGCTCCTGCTGCTGTCTGTGGCGCTCGCCGCTACCTCCGCTCCTTCCCCCGCTGCCTGCTCCACCGCGTCTGTCCTCCGCAACCGCTACGTCTGTGGTGGACGTCTGAGAAAGGGAGCGCTCCAGCATGTCCAAGGAGGACACCACAGAGCTTTGTTTAACCTGGCTCTGCTCGTGCTGATGTGGAGGGGGCCCGTGGTTGTAGTGAGCCGCTGCCACCTCCAGAGCCTGGGACTGGAGCTGAAGTTGGAGCTGGGTGGTTTGGGACTGAGACTGAGCCTGATGCTTACTTGAGCCAAGTGTCCCACCAGCACTTTCCATTACAGCTTGCTGTTGGCTAATAGAGTGCTGCTGCTGTTGGGGATGAGAGTCCATTTTATGGTGCTGTTGATGCTGATGGGAGTCCATCTTCTGGTGCTGTTGATGCTGAGGGTGAGAATCCATTTTAGGGTGTTGCTGATGTGGTTGGTGGGAGTCCATTTTGTGATGTTGTTGGTGTTGCCGATGAGAGTCCATCTTGTGGTGCTGTTGGTGGGCATCCAGTTTGTTGCGGGTGGTGTGGGACAGCACTGACTGGAGCAGGTGTGGTGGCTGACGGGACTGATCAGTGGGCGAGTCCATGAGGGAGGCAGCAGCTTGAGACTGGGAATGCTGTTGCTGGACTTCCGGTGTTTTCCGAGGGTAAGGAATTTCAGCTCGTTCCTGTGGCTTCTTTTGGAGTTCCATTTGGGTGTGGGGTGGTATCTGTGAGTGTGAGGACACGTGTTGACTATGTGAAGGGTGTTGGGGAGCCAGGGAGTGTTGGGTATATGGGTCACCCCGCCCATAATGGACTACCGAGCCTAGGTTGTCATGGTGATGGAGGTGGGAGTGCACTTGTTCGGCGCTGCCTCTCCCTCCACTGCTCCTGCTGCTTCCAACAGACCTCTCATTTCTTTGCTGTTGCTGCTGTTGATGATGGTGTTGTTGTTGATGTTGCTGCTGTTGTTTCTTTAGTGACATCTCCAGCTGGTTCTCCAGCCCTGAGATGGACCCTGCAGACCCTGCATTACCCACTCCAGCAGTGGAAGTGGCACTGTGAGTACGTATGACACTCTGGGGGTGGTACCTCTCCTCAGAGGTCTTACCCATGTCATAGCTCAGCCCTTTGCCTGAATCAGTGGTTGGGGGCACTGACTGGGGCTGAGGCTGTGTTTGTTGGGACGTCTGTTGGGGTTGTTGTTGAGGATGGTGATGAGCTGCCTGGGGAGTAGGACTTGCTTGAGCTTGCAGCAGGTGCTGGATCAAGAACTCGTCGTCATCATCTACTTCCTCTTGGGATCTCTGAGAGCCCACTCCTAGCATGGAAGTGTCCGCCTTTGATTTGGAGGAGGTGGAATGATAGGACTGAGGTTGGGAGGTGGGGCCTCTGGTATCGGGGTAGCCCTGTGGGGAGGCTAGGAAGGTGGGGGAGAGAACTGAGGAAATGTATTTATTTGAGCCTGCACCTCCAGGAGATTGTGTGGGGCAGTTGGGCACTGGGGAGTGCAACCCTGGACGGATGATGCCTGAGTTGCTCGACGGAGAGGGGCTAGAGTCTGGAATATGATACGACCCTCCACCACTACCACCTCCACCTCTCTCATTGGTCATACTATTTCCCGCTGCTCCTCCTGACCCCGAGTTCCCACTTCCTGTGCCACTACTGCTTCCTCCCCCAGATGCTCCACTACCTGATGAACCACTTGACCTTAATAGGGCAGGGGAGTGACCTGGGGCTCCGTATCCTAATGATGGGCTTCCAGCTCCACCTAGAGAGGATGGAAGTGATCCATATGCAGAGTCAGCTCCATATATATCAGTGGAGTATGACTGGCTTCGCCCTCCTAAACTCCCATAGCCTTTCCCACCTGTACCTGAGCTCAGATCTTGGGCTTGTGGTGAACTGAAGCCTCCGTAGGTCTGAGCCAGGTGGGAAGGTGGGGGCTGATTAGGGGAATATGACTGTGTCTGTTGCTGGGGTGGGGTTTGACCTGTAAGAGCAGAGGTGGGGGTCTTCACTGGGGGCACAGGAGACCCATAGCCTGAAAGGCAGGATTTGGCGAGAGACTGGGGGGCCGAGGTGGAGGTGGCAGGGGGCTGCTGCTGCTGCTGAGGGGCTGGGGGAGGAGCAGCCGGCTGAGGGGGCGGTTGCTGCCTGGAAGGGGCTGCGCTAGAGCTGGAGGTGGGGATTGAGTTGGAAGGATGAGCCCCAGAGGTGGCGGAGGAGGAGGAGGAGGAAGAGGAGGTAGAGGAAGCAGAAGGGGGGGTGTGAGGAGTTCTTGAGGATGATGCTGAACTGGCAGAAGAATAGCCACTGCTAGAGCTGCTTTTGGTACCTTTCCCAGCTGAGGAAGAAGATGAGGAGGAGGAGGAGGAATAGGGAGGCTGGATGATTGGCCGATACTGCTCAGTGCGAGAGGTGGGCTTGTGGTCAGATGAGGGGCTCTGGTCGCCCAGTGGGCTGCAAGAAAGGCCAGCATGCCTGTGGTGGGTGGCAATCTGCTGGTAGCCTGCTCCTCCACAGCTGAGGTAATGCTGAAGGGAGTGGGCAGCAGAGGATGAGAGCTGTGACTGAGCTGGCGTGGGCCGCTGGTAGTGCTTGATAACACTGTCCTGCCGGGGCACGGCCCGCTCCTGAGCCGAATTGGACTGGGATTGGGACTGAGGCTGGGGTTGGGCTGAGGAGAAGACTGATGCATTGTACAACTGGGACGACTGGTCCTGGAGCTGTGATGAAAGCAGGTTGAACTGGTGTGACTGCAAGTGCCTGGCAGAGGACGCCTGGGCTGATGTGGCACTGGTGGGATCCTGGCTGCCCCTATAGGCGGCTGCAGCAGCACCCTGCGAGGACAGGAGTCTATCAAAACCCAGGCTGGACTGGGAAGGGGCCTTGATGTGTAGTAGAGGGTCATGTGGGGAAAGCAGGCCATTGGATGTGGGACTAAATGTGGGCGTGTCCTGGAGGGAAAGGGAGGCGGCAGGAAAGGAGCGGCTGGAGAAGGATGCTGGATGCTGATAGGCTGAGAGAGCTGAAGAGGAGGGGAAGGAGCCAGAGCCAGGAAGGGCTCCAGAAATGAATAGTTCAGGTGGAGCAGGCGTGTGCATCGCTGTTTAAAAAAAAAAAGGAAGACATATTGCAAAATTACTCGGTATCCATCAAGCTGTCATTTCAACTACAAAGTAATGAAATCCAGAAAGAGTATTCAAAAAGCATTACAATAAAATGTTGTATGGAAATACTCAAACACTGTCAGAATAATAATGCAGCCAAACATTAGGAGGTTCTTTAAATGTCATATTGACTGTGGGGCCTGTTTGAATGTCAACGCATGAGGGAAGATCTAACACAGCCCCACCTGTCTGCCAGGATGGTGTGCGGAACTGGGAGAGAAGGGAGGAGGCAGAGGGTGGTGGCTGGGGACCCCGAGACTCCAGGGCTGAGATCAGATTCATGACAGAGGCGTCGGGGGCAGAGGGGCTGGCATGGTGCAGGCCAGTGTCAAAGAGCCCTGACAGACCTTTGCAAAGGAAAGAGAAACATGAAAATTACAGCTAGTAGCAGAGATATAGATGATATATTTGTTCATAATCACAAAAAAAAATTAAGCTTAGCTTATATAGAAAGCCTGGTGTCACACATACGAACATTAAGAATTTGAATCAGCAGTTCTGTTGCTGAAAAGAACTCCAAAGATATTGGTAGACTGACAATGAATGCTACAGGCTTTTCCTGAAATCAAGGTTTAACATCTCAGTCTCCAACTCAATTGAGCTAGAATGTGCACATTTTTTCAATGACAATAATCTACCGGAGCCTGCGTAGAGAGATACAATTATTCATTGCTGGGGCCCCTTATGGTGGTGACATGGAAGGTATGACATTTATCTCACCCAAACTCCGTCCAGCTGCTCCCCAAGCTCCGCCTTGGCCAGAGCTCCCTGGGTGGTGATTGGTGGCATAGCCCTGCAGAGGGTGTGGGGTGGCGTAGGCTTGTCGGTGAAGGAGCTCAGACTCAGGGTGGGATGATCTGGAACTCCCATATACAAGACTATGGAGGAAGAGGAGTGGGGAGGGGGATTGTGAAGGGTCATTAATTTCCTAGTACATTTACATAAACCTAATCTTTTCCCAAAATGTGACCCTTGAGAAAAGTCTAGGCTTGGGTCACTTCTTAAATGTACAAAATCTACCATGCAAGTAAATTGTTCTTCAATTAAAAATCCATACATCAGATGTCAACTTTAGGCTGTTCATTTGTTTGGTGTCCATATGCAACTTCTCAATAGTAGTCTACATGTGAAAACCAACATCCCGGACAAATCTGATTTAAATTTGAAGTTAAGGGGAAGGAACATATTTCTTATATCTAAATAATAAATACCTACATTTATTAGCCATGACACCAAAGTCTATTACAGCAGATGCAAATCTGTCAAACCAGCAATGGAAGTGTCATGAAAAAAAATAATGGGATAATTAATTTGCAATTATAATGGACCCACGAGACCCAGCCACTACATCATTTAGAAATGTACAAAATACATAACCTTCTTGTTCAATGCAAAGTATTTGCCAGTTGCAGAACTTTGCTTTACCAGTGACAGATGAAATGCGTGGCTGGCCGGCCAGATAGCATGCTAGCATTTTTTGCTGCTGGTCGCACCGCCTAGCAGCAATGGACAACGGCTATGGAAGAAATGCAGACTAGGCCCAAACTGCAAGGCCAGTCTTTTACGTGTACATAAACTTCTGGTAACCAATGTGCACATTTGGACCAAGTGAAAATTACAGTTCCCTCAAGTTATACCAAAGACAAACGATTAATTTGTCTACAACCATTGATTTTGTCGACAGAGCCAACAGCTGGACGGTGCAGGTCGACGCAAATGCATGCTAAGCTGCATGCAAACACCAGCAACTTGCCAGGTTTGCTTAGCCTAATATCACTTCTCATAGGAGGATGGAGGCTTTCGACTACGATCAGGCAGCCAACTCTGGGTCAAAATCTCTCAAATTTGTGCAACTAAATAAAAATAAGAGGGGATGGTGCTTGCGTGTACGGGCCTCGACTGACTTCCATGCAACATAACGCTAGCTTGCAGGCTAACGTGAAGCTAAAGATAGAGCTATCTTGCACAGTCCAGGCAATTTTCATCATCTTATAAATTCACCCTGCCATTATTTTTCATTTTAGACAAACAGCAAATTGCAAGTTTGATGCGGTGGGGATACGCCACAATTTAATTGTGCAAATTAACATAAACCACCCCAAACCCACCATCAATTATCTACATCACGATTTGGCAAAATGCATTTAAAATCTCAGTTTTAGTAGAATGGCACCACCTTCACATTTAAGATTTTTTTACTGCCAGTTTTCTTTACAATGTAACAATTAAAAAAAATGCTTCAATAAATGCATTTAATATGAATCAATTCTTCTTGTTGATGTCTGTCAGGGGGACTGCTGTGAGGGCTTTGCTGCGTCTGCACTCTTCGCAGTTTCTATCAATCCAGTGAATTTATCTCTCAGGGTCTGTGTCCAGGCCTGCACACAGGGAACAATAATTCCTATGGATGCTCCAGACATACCCCCACCCCGCCAGGTCCACCTAAAACCTACGTCTGTCAATCACATTCAATTCATATCCCCAACCTTTCCTTCCTCCACCCCGCCCACCCCCACGACACGCACACTGCTCCATTGCTGTTTATAATATTATTACTATGCAACTGTTTGGATGACAATGCACTACACATAATGGCAAGGCATGGTACTATAGATGAACCCAATGGCGACAATTTGTTTACATGGCCCACACAGTGCCCTGCAAAGTACCAGTGATGCATGCACATTGTCTGAATCCAGTGCATACCTTGCTTTTGCCGATCTCTCGTAACTCCATCCTGCTCCTGCGCCCAAATCACCAAATCCTGTTCCCGGGTAATTTCTATCCATTTATGTGTGTACAATGTGTGCGATGAGGACGAAAGCAACGAGAACGTCGCAGAGCAGATTACGGAAAAAAATCCAGTCTTTCCCGTTCTCGGTTTCAAGCTATTTTCCCCGGTTTCATAAGCAAGTCCTCAGGAGTGGAAAACAGCATATTGAAAGAGAAATGGAGGGGAGGAGGAGAAAACTGGATGAAAAAAAGAGGGGGGTCTACGGGGTTATAATCCAACCACATCCAAAAAAAGCCAGTCTTTCTCCTTTTCCTACGCGCTTCACATTTATCATTTCCACGAATGCAGATTTAGTCCGAAATCATTCACGGTCATGATGAAGATGCCGCGGATTTGGCCGGCGATGGACGAATTGCTGATAAACATTTGATTTGAATGCGTCCTTTTTCACCGTCTCTCCTCCCCTTTCTTTAGGCTAGTCTTTGCTACGCTGCTAGCACCAGAAAAATATTGCAATCGACGGGCCACGTTGGTAGCAGCAATCACTCCCCGTAGTCGAGCAAAGAAATCTCCCAGTTTCAAAATCGTTTTTTTTTTCTCTCCTTCTCGTCTTTTGCATGCAAATCGTTCCCACCCCCCTCCGGAGCAGAGCTGTGGGCTAGCAGCAAGATGCTAGCTGTCAGTAACGACGCATCAAAATAAAACAGGGCTGCTTTTATTTCCCCAAATGCTCGCTCCCCTTATTTCTCCTTTCTCTCCGCCATTCAAGTGTAAGCGACGACGAGTTTGCTCGCACCGGGAAAAAAATACCGCTAAAGTAAACAAGTACCGAACTAGGAAGTGTAAAGAAAACAGGCCGCGTTTTAATATTTTTTACTCATTTTCCTCCGGAGACGCCATTTTTGAAGGCGGCTGTCCGTCCTCCCTCTCCCCTTCTGTCTCACCGCTGAGAGTCACTCAGTGTCTGCGGTGACCTCCATTCGCCGGCCCTCAGTCTGCCAACCAGCCCTGCACGCTTTTCCAGATTTTCATCGTAATGGCTAATCATTAACTTAGACTACATTTTACAGGAACAGAAATAGCCAGCTGTTTGTACTGAAACGCTGCGATTGGCTGAGACGCATTCGAGTGCAAACATATTTCCAGTAATAACCAGATTTATATAGGCCTCCAGCAGTCACTTTGCAAATTCACATCCAAATTGTGCAGCCTGTTCCGAGACACGGTGGCTATTCCTGCCTCCAGTCAGATGCTTAATTAACTAAACAGGCTGCAGTTCGCCTATAATTAGCATGCCATTATGGGATATTTTCGCCCTTTAGCTATGCTAAAATTTAAGATACCAATACCTATTTTAATCCCCCCTTTTATTTTTGCTATTTTTTGGGAGAACCTGTCTGCTAGACCCCATATGCACTTGATTTGTTCGCCTGCAGATGGCGCGCTGGATTTTATGGTCATTATAAAGGAGGAGGAAACACCGAGATAGAGAGATGCTCTGCTCTTATTTCATGTCTTTGGTGTTTGACCAGGGTTTTCTGAGACGCTGTAATTTGCATGACCATCCTATTAACCTGTCTCTATCTCCAACTGAACACTTCAGCCAAGATCAGGTGATAGAAAAGTGTTACAATAGATGAACCAAACTATGTAATATTGCTGAATGTAAATATGATCCCTTTTCTTACAGCTAATAATGAATCACACACTATACAGGCCTGTTTGTCCAGAAATTCATCATTGTGTGTATATAAGTGTTTGTTGCCCTCTAGTGGCGAGGTTTAATCCTCCAACTAAAATACTGTAAATAGCTGCAAACACATCATTTAATCCATTTAAACATTTTTAGGTCTACTTCTTGAGGCACTGTTTCATGTGTGCCAAACATGGCAGAGAAAGCATATCATGTTTTTGCAGATTTTGCCTAACTCAAAAATATCAATTTAAAATCCATCCAAACGTAGGTTACTGTTATATAACATTTCCTAAATATTATATATTTCATTGACATCAGTTGTGACTGCCATCTTATAAAAGTTGAGTAAACTATCTATCCTTAGACTTTGAGGACCCACAAATATTTATAAAGTCTATATACTAGGAATTGGTCTTATTTTACCTAGTTTTTTGGAAGTATCTCACTTTTGGATAAGATTAATATATGTGCTACATATAGATAGAAATGCCAGTCAAGTCATCAGTGTATGTGTGTCAGTAAATATATTCCTTTAATTAACATGGTCATTATTTTGTTTGAGAAGAAGAAATTGCTGTTTGTTACATATTGTAACTTGGCTCAGTTGTTGGTTCTATATAATTATATAAATGTTAAAATGTTGAAAGCACAATGTATTTTGATGAGTAGCAATGATTTACCTCACTATTATTAACCACAACTGCTTTTATTAAGCCTCAGAATTCTGGATTATTTTCAGATTGTTAGGTGCATATTTTCTAACAGCATGTTCAATGCTAATTTGACATTTTATTACAAATACTACAACTCTCAGCTCACCCTCCTAAGCCAACAGTGTAAAACAAAGTCAGACTTCCCAATCTCTTTTAAGGAAAAAGCCCTCCCCTGTAGTGAGTATTTTAGATGCATTATGAGACCTTTGTGATGCATAATGCCTGACTCAAAAGGTGAGCAATCTGCATATCCATTAGAAAGACAGTAAAAGAAAGGGCATGAATGGAAGCATTTAAGAATGCAATCAATCATATAGGTTGATGTACATAAATGGGAAAGGATATCAGAAACAAAGGTAATTAAAATAAATAGTAAGACTATAGAAATGAAAGGAAGAATTTCAAATCAAACTTAGTTCTCCTGAGTAATCTCTTGCATACAATCTATTCCCTCGTTCAAGCTTATCATAGTAGGACACTGTTATGCCTCCTCCCTCCCTCCTTTGCTGTCTTTGCCTCCATCTCTGTAACTAATCTGTGACCATACTTGACTGCAGCTCTTGCAGCAGCACACCTCCACAAACTCCAGCTCTCTTCTGTCAAAATGCCAGACTCTAACGAAGCTGCGCCAGCACCGTGCCAGGTCATCAAAGAGGATGTTGACAAATGGTGAGTACTGACAGCAATGATGTACAATTAATTACGGAAAATGGTATTTATATAAATACAAATATTTCATAATTCTTTGGTGAGTGTAAGTGATAGTATAGATTGTCTTTATAACTTTGTGCCCCCAAGGAGATTCATTAGAGTGTAGGATAAAGCTAAATGCTGGTCACTTTCAATTACGTCCTTTTGGCCATTGTCTCAGTCATCACTTATTGAGTTCTCTGCATGACATTTACAGAGACAGAGGGCCCTTACAGTAAAATAAATGTCTTGAGAAGCAGAAATAGACCTGAGGTTTAAAAAAAGCATCCACATGTATGACCTGTTGCAGAGAACTGACACATTCAGGCTGTTGGTTCATGTTACATGCGCAGTCTATGGTTACACGCATGCAAGAAGCAACACTTGGTGTGTTTCCACACGCAGCAGCGATCAGTCTTTATGGAGTTTCTGTGAAGATTAGTCACTCTTGTTCTCGTACTTCACCAAATGCAGATAAAAGCAGCAGTGGGGGGGGTTTAGTTGAAATACTTTATTGCCAAGCTATACTCTGATAATCCCTTTGATGCACATGTAGACTAAATTTAGAGATATTCCTATGTCCTCCACACAGTTTCAGGTGATGTACCTTTATCCATTGGATGTGTATTTATTTTACATGTTATCTGCATTTACATCATGTTCTTTGCCCAGTTTTAACTATGCCAAAGAGAATAACCCAGCTACATGTATGGTACTGTAAGTGTGTTTTGTAAATATGGCTTTGTGTTTCAGTGTCAGAGAGAAGGGAGCAGAGGGCTGTAAAGATCTGATAGATGCCTTCCAGGCCTGTATAAAAACCCTGTCTGAGGGATCATAATACATAAGGCAATGCATCTTAATAAAATGTAAGTTCATACAAATGACTACAAAGAATTTTTTTTATTTCCTCAATATAAGAGTCAGAAACCAACCATAAAACAAAAGTCCTGTGGCCTTGTGTAAACCATAATAACAGTTTTTAAAAGGTGCAAAACATTTAACCATGGTGCTAATCAGGCAGTCAGTGCAAGTTTACAGTGGGGTGCTTCTTTGGGATTTTTCTATTTAAAAACGTAACCAAGAAGGCCATCAGTTTATTAGGAGATGAACGTTAAAGTTTATGGGAGATAATTTTACCCAGAATTAGACTAAAATTAAAATGGAAAATAAACAAATATTGCACGACTCAGAATCAGGCCTTTAAAGAAAGAAAGCTGAAAAAGGAAATTGTATATTGAAATGACAATTGGATATTGTGAAATGGCAATTTGAAGTATGTAAGTAAGCTGCTCAATTTACAATATATCCTGTAAGTTATTGGCTTTGTGAAGGAGTGTGATCTTTCATCAGTAACACTCATTACTCCCACATTGTTATTATTGTCATTATATTATTATTGTCATTAAAACTATAGAAACTGTCTGTTGTAGGCATTGTATTGTATTTGGATGATTTGAATCACATATTTTGTCACATTTTCTACCTATGATATTGCCGAGTCATACATTTTCCCATCTTTGATCACAGCTTATCAAAGTGCTTCACTTTCCCAGCATTCCCTTCCTTGCCTATTGCACTGGACTGAACCATCTGAAAAACTGAAGAGGGGGTGATGAGACTGAGCTTCCGATACTGTATACTTCTGTCAATGTGAAACCTTTTCGTCATAAATGTTATAACTCCATCATGGACTCTAGTATAAATCTAATCATCTATGTACCGTAACATTCTTATACACACAAATACAATAAATATAAAGCTTATCCACCATACACAGTATTTTGTTTTTCTTTGGTAATCACAGATTTTATTACTGTATATCGGTATTTTTTATTCTGTTCCAAAATTATTAGTACTGTCTGTTGCACCGTCTCCACTTGCCAAGCATATGGGCTTCCACATGGAATAGTTACTCTTAATGGAATGAAGAAGAGCTTGTTAATCTCATACCTAATCCCCACATTAGTACCTGCACGCAGCAGTCTTATGTCACTTTTCCAATCCGAGCTCTGGCAATGAATGTGGGGATTGTAGACCGGTGACATGGCCTGGAAGAGAAGTTTTCCCAGAGTTCCTTGTTCTGCTGGGAGGAAAAGGTGTTAGTAAGCCTATGGGATTTACTCACAAGCCGGATGATACAGAATAACCTCCTGCGTAATTCAAGAGGACAGAGTAGATCCTGGTGCTGTCAGCTGAAGGGGAGGTTCAAGCTCTGGAGAGATGGAATTCACTTGAAGGAGCGTAATAATCTAATTTAGACATTTCATTGTGAAAGAAAACTAAGGTATATAGTATGTGCGTAGGTTTATGGTTAAGGCCAGAACGTCAGACATTTTGTTTTACTTCTTCTTCCCCCAGCTCTGCTTCTTGGACTCCCTTGCCTCTATTCTTTTATTTCAAATACTGCTTGTGGGAAAGCCAAACTACAGTGTGTCATTTACTGCTCTGATTTAGGCCTACGTATTTTCAAGTATTTTGATCTCAAAAGACAGTGTCTGTCGCATGAGAACAAACCAGAAAATGGTCTTTTCCTTTCTATTTCTGCTCCATGATTTGGAGACAACCCCCTTCTGGCTTTGTGCAAATCAACCAGCTAGGCGCAGATGAAGATGGGCTTTGGGGAATTATCTGCCCACGCACAACATTTTAAATTGAGATTTTAGAGATTTTTCAAGGCACTTTACAGATGATACATTCAAATGTCCTACTCCCCCCCCCCCCTTTTTATTTTATAAAACTGTCATCTCTGTGTGATACATTTAAATCAGCACCCAACACTTGTCTTTTCAGTTTCCTCTCCAGAGGAGGTGTGATTCAGTCACCATTGAGGTGTGCTCATCAGAATTATATTTTTTTTAATGTGGGTTTCAATGTGCTGCTGTGTCATTTTTTCAGAAGTTGATAATTGACAATAGAAAGCAACAGGAACATGGTCTGTGAATAGACACCTTCTGGGTCATTGCTGTAATCATGTGGCATAAGAATTTGGGTGTTCATTTACAAAAACAACATTTTTTAATGGTATTGTGTAAGCTGAAGCTGACCATTTATGTAGAAGGTGACACAAAATATGTGCTTAACATACCACTAAGACAGTGGGGCAGGGATGCACAATACCAGGACTCTGAAACTGAAGTGGAATTCATTCATTTTAATATTTTTCCTCCTGTGACATGTCTTCAGTGATGACAGTCTATCAGCAAACATGAAAATTTAATGAACATGCAATAATGAAAATCTTAATGAAGGAGATATATATGTCTACTATTACTGGTATAAAGTAATTAAGTACATTTACTCAATCGCAGTCCTAAAAGTTTGAGGTTCTTTACTTATTAGCCTACTACTTATTTTCATTTCATTTTACTTACATCTACTCCACTACATTTCAATGGGAAATACATTTTTACACCAATACATTTTACAGCTATTAATAGTTACTTTGAACATGAAGATTTTACATACAGTACAAAATGTATGATAACCTTATAAAATATAATAGCTTTTTTAGGTTAAACTGCTCAGCAGTGCAAAAAAGTAACTGTCTCCCTCTGCCACAAAATTAAAATACCTTTTGGATATATAACAATACATTAATATATTATAGCAGTGCAATTCTGTTGCTTAATTAGTTCCTTTATTTTTTGTACATTTTGCTACTGATTATGACTACAGGGCTTTGACATGTAATGGACAGTGGTGAAAGAAGTAGTCAGATCCTTGAGTAAAAGTAAAAATACCACAATGTAAAAAATTACAATTAAACGTCCTGCATTCAAATAGGCTATTTATTGAAGTAGCATACAGAAATCATTATCAGTCAAATGTACTTACTAATTATGCACAGTGGGCCCTTTTAGAGTGTTATATTAATCAAATATTGTATTATTGTTTCATTACTCTAAATGCTTCAAGCTATGTTGTTAAAGGTAGCGCTTTGCATTTTTTATGATATTACACTTCTGGGTAGTTTAATAAATAACAATCCGTCATATTCTGTAAGTTCATTATATGTTTTGTAAGTAAAAAGTGAAATAGTTCATTATAAAATGGAGCGGAGTAATAGGCTAGCCTAAAATGGAAATACTCAAGTAAAGAACAAGTAGCCTACTTTACAATTGTACTGAAGTAAAGTAGACTATCTGTGTAAATTTTCCTGCTACCTTTAGCCAATGTGACACCTTATTTCAAATAAAATTAAAAACAAAAGCCCACCTGTGGGACACCACCAGTGATTGTGAAAAGAACCACGCATCCCCAGCATCGTCCCAACACACGCAGCGTCCCATCCTCTGGAGATGTTTACAAATGCCTTTCACTACACCAGTGAAGGAGCAGCAGCTCACGGGGCTCACGGTGGGGCCGGTGTTGAGGTGGATGCAGAGATCAGCGTATTTTGAGGAACAAGATCGGGAGGAGGAGGAGGAGGAGGAGGAGAGGGGCGGGGGAGGAGAGGCGAGAGGATGGAGAGAGAGTGGGACCCGGATGCTGATGCGAGTGAGACGAAGGAAGGAAGAGGAGAGAGAAAATATCGATTTACGGCAAGAAAACCGAAGGGAGTGTAATACAGGGGGCCTTTACCCTGCGTGGACTATTATCAGAAGTGAGGAAAGGGAATAAGGCAGTCGATTATAGTGCGGGTTGATCTGCGGGTGATCTGTGTGGTTTTTTTTTACCTGTGTATCCGCCGGTGAGGGAGGAGGACACGCCAAAGGAGAAGATGCTGTGATCCGCTACTTGCAGGGATGTAGAGAGGGAGAGACGGCGAGAGACAGGGAGGGGGAGGACTAAACGCTACGCTAAAGATGGTTGTTTCGCGAGGAAATATTGTGAGAGTGCGGCGGCCGTCTCATCAATCTCACCGTTTGGCGATGCCCAGGAACTTCAGGAGGTGTCGGTTTTTTTGACAGGCGGCGCGAGCGAGACGGCCGTTGGTCAAGGCGTTGAAGCTAAGCTAGCCTCGCTGCTGTGTGGGAGAGTGGCGGCGAGGCTAAAATAGCATGTTGTTGCACCTGTAAAAACAGGCCTGACACAGAGAATTAAATTGATTTAATTTACCAGTGCTGACATACTTGACGTATTTGACGTTTGGTTGGTGGACTAAACCGGCAAATTACATAAATATTTGCAGCAGACGTGAAAAAACTTGACTTGTGTTAAGGCTATATAACGTTAACGTTACCCTGCGATAAATGTCCTATTAACCGTTATAGTTAACGCCATACATGTAACACGGTTCAAGTTATACAAATAAGCTAATGTACAGAAGTAAACCTCATTAGTTTGCCTACCTTGGCATGTTTATCTTTAGGGTAGTGGTCAGTATTTAACGCTTAAAACAGACTAGCAACTCACCTCACTTTCTTTGCTTTTATCTCCCACTGGGAAGCTGTTTTGTTAAATATCAATGTTGTACACGTTTACCGTGCTTCAGAACAAAAAGGCAAAACTATTTAGCTATGTTCATTAACAAGGTGTTGATGAAGAATGCTCATTTATCATCCAGATGTTGTAAATCAGCACCCGTTTGACTTTTGCATTTTTTACATGTTCACCCAGTATCTTAAGAGTAGCAGTGTTATCACTGAAATAAAAGGTTGTCCTGTCTCCAAGTTAAGCACCATCTTGTATCCCACAGTAACTCCTGTATAAGCTGTATAATACCAGAGTAATTGTAATAACCACAGTGCAGTAGTACTACTAGTAGTAGTATTAGCATCCAGTAAGAGCAGTATGAGTAAGGAACTGTCTCTAAGTCAGTCAGCTCAATATGTTGGGCCCTACCGACTGGAAAAAACACTGGGGAAGGGGCAGACAGGTGAGTACACCAAACAGTTTTTAAGTATAAAATGATACAACTTTTCCGAAATGTGAGAATGGATTAAAAACTACTGTTTTATGTAGAATAAAATACTGCATATGATGCTTTTCTATCTATCATGCCTATCTATTATCTCTTATTTTAATCTCATCTCTCTTGTTCTGTCTTTCAGGACTGGTCAAGCTCGGGGTCCATTGTATTACGGGTCAGAAGGTAGCCATCAAAATAGTCAACAGAGAGAAGCTGTCTGAGTCAGTCCTGATGAAGGTACAGCATGACGCTGTTGAGGTTGTTGCTCACAGTGACGATAACATTGCTAATTTTGTATATGGCGAGGTGTGTTACGCTGTACACAAACTGCTCCATATTCTCTATATTTAACTGATGTATTACTTAATTAATTAACCTTTGTACTGTTGCTTCTGAAATAACATAGAGTGGCTTGTGTCCTCTGCTCATCTCTTTCTGTCTCTTCTTCTATTTGTGTCTCTTCTCCCTAACCAGGTTGAGAGGGAGATTGCCATTCTGAAACTGATTGAGCATCCGCATGTGTTGAAGCTGCATGATGTTTACGAGAATAACAAATATCTGTGAGTTCCCTCTGCATTCAAGAGGCCTCACAATTGAGCTCAGTGCAGTTTGCATGCTTTTTCTGTTGCTGAATACTAAACCTTTGAGTGGGATGAGTATAAATATATCTATAAGACCTATATTAATCTGTTCTCATCAATCTAATTCTCACGTTTCCTTCATCTCCTGCAATTATTCAGAAATGTTTTTGATCTATCTTGACGAAAAATATTTTAACACTGTTATAAAACAGCTGTTGGAGTAGAAAGGCAGGTTGGCTGAAAGTCAGTACATAAAAAAAAGATAAATGACAGCATTTCATCTCAATATTGTGGTTCTAGAATCCAACATCATAAATTGAGGGTATCTAACAGAGTGAGT